CATAGGGATCATGGAAGGGACCCTAAAGCCCATCCAGTGCCACCCCTGCCATGGGCAGGGACACCTTCCACCAGCCCAGGGTGCTCCAAGCCCCGTCCAACCTGGCCTGGGACACTCCCAGGGATCCAGGGGCAGCCACAGCTTCTCTGGGCACCCTGTGCCCTGCCAGGCTGTCACAGTGGTGTGTTTTGCTGGCAGTTTTTCACAGGCTGGTGGATCATGATCGACGCTGCCGTGGTGTACCCCAAGCCGGAGCAGCTCAACCACGCCTTCCACACCTGCGGGGTCTTCTCCACCCTGGCCTTCTTCATGTGAGTGGGGCAGGGGAGGGTTCTGAGCGACTCAGCATGAGCTTTCCAACCCAGGGTTTACAGGACAGATGTCTAAGTATGGAAAAATCACAGATTGTGGAACGGTTTGGGTGGGAAGGGACCTCAAAGCCCGTCCAGTGCCACCCCTGCCATGGGCAGGGACACCTTCCACCAGCCCAGGGTGCTCCAAGCCCTGTCCAGCTTGGCCTTGGACACTTCCAATGCTTAATATAAAACATTTGACTGCATCTCCCCCTGTTTTGAAACAATTTTTACACCTGTTCCTTGCCCAGAACTCCCTCAGATGGGAGAGGCAATAGCCTGGCTCTTGTCATGGAGATGTCAATCTGGAAGCTCGAGGGAGAAGTAAGAACTTTTATTGAATCACCCAATATTGGCAAGAAAAAAAGGAGGAGTTTGGGTTTGTGACTATACAGAGTGCCTAGGAATTTTTTTCCCCAGAATTTATAACTTGGAACTTTAAATTGATTTTCTGATAACCTGAAGTGTATCTACTGTTTTTGTCCCTAGGATAAATGCTGTATCAAATGCACAGGTGAGAGGAGACAGCTACAGTGATGGATGCTTAGGAAGAACAGGTAAATTAACTCTAAAAGTCACACTGAGTTGAAGGACTGATTATTTCTGTGCTGGGTTTTTTTTACCAAGTGGTGGTGAAACAAATAATCTGAAGACAAGGAGTAGGAGAGACTTCTGTGAATTAATTTCTTTACAGAATTAACCCTTGGAGATAAGGACTGTCTTTATTAAAAAGGTGAACTTGGAAAAAATTCAGCTGCTGAATATCTTGGCTTCTTAAACTTTCCTCTGCAAATCCTGGGTGGCTGCTGGGAGAACTAAATTCCTGCCTTGGGGGTGGGCTCTGGAGCAGACATTCCTTGGGAATGGGTCCCAGCCATCCCACTCCCTCTGTGTCACCTGCTGTGTGGTGTCTGTGGGCCTGCTCTCCTCTCTGCTTCCATTCATCATTCCTGCCCTGTTTCCCATGTGGCTCCCAGCAGCCTTTTCCAGGGGATCTGTAAATGCCTCAGTGGGAATCTGGGGGGATTTACCGGGAGCTGAACCGGCCTGTGATGCCTTTTTTTTGTGTGCCATTCACGAACCAGCTCAGGAGAAAAGGAGAATATTTCTCCTTTGCCATGAGTGAGCAGGTGGATGTTTTTGCCCTTGATCCAGGGTTTAACCATCAGCACGGAGCAGTTGGTTGTCTGTCCCCCATGGGTAACCACCCTCACATTCTCAGAGCTTCTGATCTGCCCTGCAGGTGCTCGAATCTGGCTCTTCATCGGCTTCATGTTGATGTTTGGATCCCTCATCGCTTCCATGTGGATTCTCTTCGGAGCTTACGTCACACAGAGTAGGTTTGGGTTCTTTTCACCTCTGGAAAAGGGCTTTTCCTGCCAGCTTTTTTGGCAGGAAGTCCCCAAGCGTGGAGGTGTGCGTGGTGTCTGACAAACCCAAGCCACAGAGTGCAGGTTTCAGTCAGAGGCCACACTGGGAGCTGTGTCAGACCCCCCTCCCAGTGCTCCAGACCTGAACATTTCCCTTTGTTCCTCCCTTTGCAGACACCAATGTGTACCCTGGCCTGGCAGTCTTCTTCCAAAACGCGTTAATATTTTTCAGGTGAGTTAACTGGGCCCACTTCCCTCCTTCCAGAGGGGCTTACCTGCTTCCCAACACCCAGACTCCTGGAAAAGGAGCTCTTGTTTTTCTACTCCCTTTGCTCCAGAGCTTAAAAACGAGGTTTGCTGTGCCCCTTCCCAGCCCAGGAGAGGCTCTGCCCTCCTCTCACTCTCCTGTCAGTGCAGCTCTCCCTGCTCTCCCTGATCCTACAGCTCTGGAATGTGGACCCAGCCAGTTTTGTGGCTGAGATACTGCCAGTGCCTTTGGATAATGGCAATCATGTGCTACAAATACCTTGGCCTCTCTCCCAGCAGAACCAGGTGGGAGATTCAATTGCCCCTTCCCAGGCTATTTCACACCAGTGGCTCAGTTACCTGATAGTTGATATTACCTGTATTTCCTTCCAGTGGCTGAGCTTTCAGTTACTGAGAGTGATAATTCCATTTTCTAAGAGCGTGATGCTGTGATTTGTAACAGCACACTGGATTTATTTCAGTTCCTATTGTTAAGTCTCTCATGTAACACTTTGAACTGATTTGCTATCATCTCTGATAACTCTTTAGATGTAGAATGCATTCTGCAGTCCAGGGATTTTATTAATAAAAGGCACTGGAAGCCTTAAATAGTGTCAGTTCCCAGATCAGTCACTGAAAAATTCCACATCACCTGCTTTTTTAAACTCCTGTGCTGACCCTTTTCCTTCCAGTCCCACATCCAATGCTTTGCAGGGAATGAGGTCAGTGGGTCTGGAGCGATGCCCTGGCTGGGAAATTGGGGATGTTCCTGCAGGAAACAGCACTTCCTGAAGCTCTTCTGGGATTGAAGTGGGAAGTCGCTGGAGGCAGATTTTGAGAGCAGTTTCACTGAGCCTGAAATCTTCTGTCTTGTTTAGAGTCACAGACTGGGTTGGGCTGGGAGGGACCTTAAGGATCATCCTGTCCCACCCCCTGCCACGGGCAGGGACACCTTCCACCAGCCCAGGGTGCTCCAAGCCCCGTCCAACCTGGCCTTGGACACTTCCAGGGATGGAGCTTTTGTAATTTGGATCTGCCTTCTCCACCACAGGTTCCATTTTCTTTCAGATTGGCTCATAAAAATGGAATTGCTCCGATTTTAGCCCAGCACATGCCACCTGGTTCCAGGTGCCAGGGTGAGACTTGCTGCTCTGGAGCTCTGTGGATCAGGCCCAGAATTCCATAAATACCAGTTTTTCCCCTTCAGAAGGGCCGTGAAACTGGTTATTTTTTGTTTGAGCTTCAGCTGGCTCCCAAAGCTTCAGCCATGCACAGGAAACAAAACACAGGATGCAGCCCCAGCCCCTGGCTGGAATGCAGGTGCTGAGCTGTTGATTTACAGGAGAAGGTTGAAGAATACTGTTAAAAGTACCTTATGTATGGTCTGACTTTGATTCCTTTTCTTTTTTTCCCCTCAGTACTCTGATCTACAAGTTTGGAAGGACAGAAGAGCTGTGGGGCTGAGCTCCCCCCGTCTGCTCCGTAGTTACCACGTGGTTCTCTGTGTGTAGATAATTTACAGTTCCTTGTTCCTGGTTTGCTTTCCAAACCCTGGACTGAGACAAATCCCAGGCTCTGTAAGAGGCTCCTCTTCTCCCAGGACACACTTGTGAATATGTACATAGGACTGGGTCTCTTCCAAAGGGAATGGTAGCCTGCCAGGCTTTCCTGCTGGAACCTTCAGGCTTCCTCCTTCCAACCCGTGGCTTTCCATCCTTCCATCTTCCAAACCTCCACCTGTGTCTGAGGCTTCAGTGAACTATGAGTGAGCAAACAGGACAAAGCCCATCCCTGGAGCAGGGGCTGTGCTGGGATAAGAGCTGATTTTAAGAATTTTATATAATTGTTCAGGTAAATATAAAGTAGCTTTTCTTTCTTTTTTTTTTTTTTTTTTTTTTTTGTAAAAGGTTATGGTTTTTAAGTGAGTCCCTACACTCAGCAAGTTCTGCATGGCCAATCAAACCACTCCTGACTTGTGATGGCTCTGGCACAAAGGACATTTGCTGGCACCACAGTCCTTGGAATTAATTTCATGCTGCTCAGTGTAAGAGATACCAATTGGTATTGAATGTGTTTCCTGGTATTAGAATAAAAAACTCCAACAAACTGCTGCCACTCATACTTCAGGAATATAAAGAATAACTGGGAGTCAGACCAACATCTTTCTATCACACAGGGGTTGTTTTCTCCAGGGGAAGCTTTTTGCTCATAAATGAACAGTTTTCCTGCACTTTTCCCCTTCTTACCTAAATGTTTCCGGTGGGGATCTGGATTTACTTACTGTTCACAGTCTTACCTTGAAATAATTGCCAGGTTTAGGCAATTATTATAACTTTGCCCCAGTTAAGATGTGTTTATCTCCCGTTTCCGTGATTGAAATGCAGTTTGTTCCATGTGGAGTGCACAGAAGGGAGGATGTTTTATGGCCTGGGGCTGATCTTGTACATTCATCTGCTGTTGCTGACTCCTTCTCTTACAAGCTGCCTGTGAGTTTTAAATCATTTGACTCTCCTCTGTGTCTCCAACCTTTTATAACTTTCCCCTGAATCGAGTTCTGAGCCTGAACTGCTGAGTGTCAGTGCTGTGCTTGGTGTCTGGAGCTGCCCAGGGATCCACCTGGTGCAGGAGGTGGCTGTTGGTTGTGCCAGAGACCTGCAGTGAAGGTGAGCCCAGCCACAGCATCCTGAGGGGGACTGGCCTTCACTCAAGGCTTTACACCAGGGAGGAACGACCACCAGGCTTCTGGTGTCAGCTTTGCTGGGTTTCTTCTGCGGGAACTCGGGAATGCTGGTTGGGTTTTCACAAGGTGAGAAAGGAGGGTGGCCTAAAACTAATCCCAGGGACTGGATCTTGTACCTGAAACTGGAACTTCAACAAGGCAAGGATGGGCTGGGGGAGCTGGAGGTGTTCACCTGGAGGAGGGAAGGCAGGGATAGATGGGATATTGGGAAGGAATTGCTGGCTGGGAGGGTGGGCAGGCCCTGGCACAGGTTGGGCAGAGAAGCTGTGGCTGCTCCTGGATCCCTGGAAGTGTCCCAGGCCAGGTTGGAGCACCCTGGGCTGGTGGAAGGTGTCCCTGCCCATGGCAGAGGGGTGGGAATTAGATGAGCTTTGAGGTCCCTCCCAACCCAAACCAGTCTGGGATTCTTTGTGTCTTCTTCAGTACCCCAAGCAAATGGTTTCTAACTCTGGCCTGTTTGTGTAACAATATTTATTAACTTGGATCTCTGACAGAAGGCCAGTGTAGGGTTTATTCAGGGATAAACAGATATACATATATATTCCCAGGAGATGTTTAACAGTCGTGCCCTCTGCTGTGCATTGGGTTGGTGCTTCTGGGAGCTGGGGCTGCCCAGCCCAGCCCAGCCCAGGGAACGGGGCTGGTTAAAAGCAGATACTCTGCAGCCATGAATCATGACTCAGGCTTCACACAGCTCCCTTGTGGCAGCAGGTTGCCTAATCCCAGGGGATTAGATCAGTTCCACAAGGAAACACCTGATAAAGCTTTTGGCCACTGGCCTGGAGTGTCGCTGGGATGGCATCACCTCAGTTACCCCCAGCTCTGACAGGGACTCCAATGAGTCATTTGCAAACACACAAGCCCATTTTCTTTTCTTTCTTTGACACAATTTCTATCAAACCCGGGAAAAATCATCGATTAAACCCCATCTTTTTAGTATAGAAGTGGCTCCCTTGTTCCTTGTGCTTTACTGGACACCTTCCAGACCCCCCAGGAGGCTGAAGGTGGGCTCTTCTTTAAGGCACCCAAAGCACCTCTCCCAGTCAGCTTTCCCTTTTTGCTGGCGGTGAACATGAGGTTTTAGTGTCTGATAACGACTGATCCACGTTGTGAGTGTTATTTTCCAGTCTGTTTGGCTGTGCAGGACACGGGGGGTGGCTGCAGGAGCAGATTAATGCTTCCAGGAGGCTGGGAGGAAGCAGACAGGAGGAGGCCTCTCTTGGGAGGAGTTTCTGGCACAGCTTCATCCTGAGCAGAGGGAAGGACCAACAAATCTCTTTTCAGTTTGCCATGTGCTGAAAATGATTCAGAGAAGCAGAGTGGGGTGGGTATAACAAGAGTATTATTGCCAACCAAAGAAAATCAACTCTAAAAGGAATTCACATTGCAATGATTCACTCCCTGAAAAATCCCACGTTCTCCTCCATCCTCCTGTAAAGTGCTGCTATTCCTCAAAGCTTTATTCCAACCTGGGGTGGGAATTTAACCTCCTTTAGGAGTTTAGTGTTCCTTTCGTTTCCGTGTTCCTCCTTTGCAGTGTCCTTGGCAGAACGAGGTGCTGGGGGAGCTCAGGAGAAGCCCCTGGAACACATCCCATGTTCTGCTCAGGATTGTCCTGGCAGCAGCCACAGCACAGGAGCAGCTGCTGGAAAGCCTGGAGCAGGTGACACTCACTGGGGTGGCTCTTCAGTGGTTTCCCTGGGCGTGCAGGTGTTGGATGAAGAGTCGTCACCCTGGGCTGCTGCTCCAGGCTTGGATTCCTTCTCCAGCTCCAACAACCTGGGGCTCGTCCTCCATGGAACTGTCCAACTCCTCCAAGCCAGGCATGGTGGGGTCCCTGAGGAACTGGAAGAATCCAGAGAACAACAGTTCAGATCCCTGTCCATGTGTCAGAAACTCCAGAGACAACGAGTTGCTCCGTGCCAGGATCCACAGCTACGTGAATATCCCATCCTGGACTTCTTGAAACTACACTGAGCCAGTTAAAAATGCCTTATTTCTGGGCTGGGGGGGAATAAAATCAATCACTCAAACATCACTCGAGTTAAAGCAGCTGCAGGTCCTGGTTGGGTGTCTTGGGGGCTTTTTTATTACATTTTGGCCAGGCTTTTCATGCTGGTTCAAGCAAATCCCTCCGAGTTCAGAACCTGCAGCTGCAGGAATCCAGCGAGTGGCTGCTGGAAAAATGGGATCCAAGGGCCTGGTTTGCTCCAGGTCAGGCAGAGCTGCCCCTTCCCCTGTCCCCACAAATCCCTGGTGCCATCCCTCCCTGGCTGTGACTCCTCTCTGCTCCCCTTCCCTCCCACACTGAGCTTTCCCAGGATAACAGTCACATCCCAGGTAATAATCAAAGCATCAGAAAGGTGGCACAAAGGTAACTTTGTGGCTTCCAATCGAGGCTCCACTTTCTCTGCCCTCCCCTCAAGGCTGATGAACAAAGGGGATTATTTTTCCGGGTGTGTTACAAACATATAAATAAATTACAATATAAATATTTTCCAGGTGTGTTACAAACATATAAATAAATTAGAATAGAAACATTTTCCAGGTGTGTTATAAACATATAAATAAATTAGAACAGAAACATTTTCCGGGTGTGTTATAAACATAAACCCCCCCCAAACCATCCGTTCCAGCAAAGTCCAGACAGAAAATAAACCTCAGGGTGGTTTTTGGGCTCCCTGGAATGGGGACCCCGAGAGCTCAGATCCTGCTGGGAAAGCAGGAACCAGCACATTCCTAAAACCTGCAGGAATCCCACGGGACTGCCCCGATCCATGGGAATTCCACACCCCTGGGCTCTGGGAGAGGCCTCTTGGAAAGGCACAGGTGGCAAAGTCAGCACATTGCCTTGTTTTCCTTCACTGCTGTATCTGTTCCACTATTTTATTACCCTGCACAGGGGTATTTTACTATTTATTTAATACTATGTATTAATTTTATTTTTATTATTTATTTTATTTTTATTTTTTATTTATTAAATATTTATTTAATACTATGTATTAAATAGTAAAATACCCCTGTGCAGGGTATTAAAATTTTAAAAAGGATTTTATTTATTATTCTAATACACTTACAAGGACTTAATTTACTATTTTATACACTTTCAAGGATTTTTTTTACTATATTCATAATGTGAACAGGGATACTTTACTATTTAATACATTTACAGGGATATTTTTTTATTATTATTATTTTAATACCCTGCACATTTTTTTTACTGTTTTAATATCCCATTCAATTATTTTTTTACCATTTTAATACACTTACATGGATTTTATTTACTATTTAAATACACTTGCAAGGATTCTATTTACTATTTAAATACACTTGCAAGGATTCTAGTTACTATTTTAATATATTGTGCAAGGATTTTTTTTTACTATTTAAATACCCTGCACAAGAATATTTTTACTATTTCATTACCCTCTACAAGGATTTTTTACTGTTTTAATACCCTGTACAAAGATTTGATCACTATTTTAATACACAAGGATTTTTTTATTATTTTAATACACTCAAATGGATTTTATTCACTGTCTTAATACCCTGTGCAAGGGTTTTTTTCACATTTGATATCATTGTGCAAGGATTTTTTACTATTTAAAACACTGAACAAGGATTTTCTTACTGTTTAAATATGCTACACATTTTTTTTTACTATTTTAATACCTTGTACAACTATTTTTTTACTGTTTTAATACACTTAGGAGGATTTGATTTACTATTTTAATATATTTTTGAGGATTTGATTTACTATTTTAATACACTTACAAGGATTTTTTTTTATATTTTAATACCATCTACAAGAATTGTTTTACTACTTTAACACACAAAGATTTTATTTACTATTTTACCACCCTGCACAAGGGTATTTTTACTATTGTAATCCACGTAAAATGATATTTTTACTATTTTAATACCCCATACAAAGATTTTTCCACTATTTTAATGCACTTACAAGAAATTTTAAATTATTTTAATACCCTTAGAATGATTTTTAAATTATTTTAATACACTTCCAAGGATTTTATTTACTATTTTAACACCCTGCATAATGGTATTTTTTTACTATTTTCTTACCCTCTACAAGGATTTTTTTTACTATTTTAATACCCTGTATGAGGACATTTTTACTATTTTAATACTTTAACGGATTTTTTATTATTTTAAGACCCTGTAAATAAATTTTTACTATTTTAATACAATTCCAAGGATTTTTTTTTTACTATTTTAATACCCCGGACAAGGATTTTCTTTCACTATTTTAATACACCTGCAAGGGGTTTTACTATTTTAATACCCTGTACAAGAACTTTTTTTACTACTTTAAAGATTTTATTTACTATTTTAAACACCCCACACAAGGGTATTTTTAAATTATTTTATTACCCTCTACATGGACTTTTTACTGTTTTGATACCCCATGCAAAGATTTGTTCACTGTTTTAATACAGTTACAAGGATTTTTTTCAGTATTTTAAGACACTTACAAGAAGTTTTTTATTATTTTACTACACTTAGGATATATTATTTTAATACACTTTGAAGGAATTTTATACTATTTTAATACCCTGTACAAAAATTTGGTTTACTACTTCAACACACAAAGATTTTATTTACTATTTTAACAGCCTGCACAAGGGTATTTTTGCTATTTAAATACCATGTACAGGGATATTTCTATTATTTTAACACCCTGTACAAGGGTATTTTTACCATTGTATTACACTTACAGGGATTTTTTACTATTGAAATACAATTACTGTATCATAATATTTTATAATAGTTTATAATATTTCATAGTACAGTTCTATTATTACAATATAATATTTATTATATTTTATATTATAATTTAGACTATATTTTTTATAATATTTTATATTAGTACAGTTATTTTTACTATTTAAATACAATTATTATTTTATAATATTTTATATTACATAACATATTAATATAATATTTACAATACTTTATATTTAATAATATAAATTATTTTATAGTATCTTATATTGGTACAATTATTTTACTATTTAAATATAATTATTATTTTAGAACATTTTATATTATATAATGTATTATTATAATATTTATAGTATTTTATATTTAGAATATAAATTATATTATATTTTATACTAGTACAATTATTTTTACTATTTAAATACAATTATTGTTTTATAATATATTATATAACGTGTTATAATATTTACAATATTTTTTCTTTAATAATATAAATTATTTTAGAACATTTTATACTAGTACAATTATCTTTACTATTTAACTACAATTATTATTTTATAATATTTTATATAACGTGTTATAATATTTACAGTATTTTATCTTTCTTAATATAAAATATAATATAAAATTTTATACTGGCACAATTACTTTTACTATTTAAATACAATCATTATTTTATAATATTTTATATTATATAACGTGTTATTATAATATTTACGATATTTTATATTTATTAATATTTAAATTTTATATTTTATATTTATTAATATAAAATATAACACAATATTTTATACTGGTACAATTACTTTTACTATTTAAATACAATTATTATTTTATGATATTTTATATGTATAATGTATTATTATAATATTTACGATATTTTATATTTTAGAATATAAATGAGACCCCGAGACACAACAGCTGCTCCTCCTGTTGGGCAACAACTGCCCTGTTCCTCTTCCCCGGCACAAACCCCCAACCTCTGCACGTACCTCTTCGAAGTGGGAGGGGATTTTCAGAGGCGGCTGAGCCCACTGTTTGATTTTCTGGTGGTGTTTCCACAGGAACAGCAACCCGGCTGTCGCCAGGTTGACAAGGACTAACCCCAGGAGGCACAGCAGGGTGATTTGTACGGCTCTGGTTGCCTCTGGAAAACGACAAAAAAAAATCCATGTACCTACGGTGGGTTCATCCTTACGGAATCACGGAAGGGTCTGGGTTGGGAGGGACCTTAAGGATCATCTCATCCCACCCCCTGCCACGGGCAGGGACACCTTCCACCAGCCCAGGCTGCTCCAAGCCCCGTCCAACCTGGCCTGGGACACTTCCAGGGATCCAGGGGCAGCCACAGCTTCTCTGCCCAACCTGTGCCAGGGCCTGCCCACCATCCCAGCCAGCAATTCCTTCCCAATATCCCATCTCTCCCTGCCCTCTGGCAGTTTGAAGCCATTCCCTGTGTCCTGTCCCTCCGTCCCTTGTCCCCAGTCCCTCTCCAGCTCTCCTGGAGCCCCTTTAGGCCCTGCAAGGGGCTCTCAGGTCTCCCTGGATCCTTCTCTTCTCCAGGTGAACCCCCCCAGCTCTCCCAGCCTGGCTCCAGAGCAGAGGGATCCAGCCCTGGGATCAACTTCAGATTCCAGAGGGGGCCAAACTCCATTTTCCCGTATTCCAGCAGGATTTATGAAGGAAAAGGACGAGGAGAAGAGCACAACACAGACCCTCAGTTCCTGCCTGATGAGTCCTGATTATTTTGCCAATAATGACAGCTGTGAGCTCCGTGGTCCCTCAGCACTCCTGGCACACAGGGAGCAGCTCAGGTGATCCAGGACTCATGTTCTACCTCATCCCCCTCTACACAAACCCCCCAAACCCCACATACCACTGACGGCAGTCCTGTGACACCTTGGGGTGCTTTCCTGTCCTAACAGGTTGCCAAAGACTCCCTCAAATTCTACTTGAAGGCTAAAGCAATAAAGTGTCGACTCCTTTAGTTTTTCAATCTGCAATAGTGTCTTGTGTGCCTCTTGTTCCTGTTCAAAAGACTAAAAAACAAACAGGTGTTACTGTAAAGCCAGCCCTGTTCCCAACACAAACATCCTCCCTCATTTACGTTTCCCATTCAAAAAACCCGGTGGGTTTTTTTTTTATTTCCATCACTCAGCTTTCCCACACAAGAGGAGCAGTGAAATATATTCCAGCTTTCCTGGATGTTCTGATGCAGCAGCTCAGGCAAGGAGCAGAATATAGGGGGGGGTGGGCAGGGAAAAATTAAACCCTGAGTGGAGCCTTCCCCATTTCTTCCCTGCCTCTCAAAAGAAAGTACTGTGTGTGTGTGTCAGAAAAATAACACACTGGTGCAAAACAGGAAGGAAAGGGAGGTGACTTACTGAGGTCTTTGAAGCAAAAGGTTTTTTTTAAATGTTGATATCTCTCTTAAATAAATTTTTTTCCTGCTCCTGCTTTTTAAATATTTGACTTCGGAATGATGTCATTTGGAAGCTTCTTCCTCCTTTTTTTTTTTTAACTCAGTACCTCCCCTGCAACACTGACACAGTTCCCAAGGCCCCAGGCAGCAGCAGGAGCACAGGATGGGACCAACACCAGGTCTCAGGATGAACAGAGCCAGCCCGTCCCAGCATGTTTCCAACAACCTCCTCTGCCCTGGGAACAGGCACATGAGGCCCCAGCAGCTGCTCCTGCAGCTCCCGGCACAGCACAGGAGGAAGGAGATTCCAGTCTCCCACATTCCCCTAAGCAAACTCTGGAATCAAATGTCACCTCTGACACAGATTCTCCACCCTGATCTGCCATGGGATTCAGCCTTTGTTCCAAAAGGAGGAGAGGAAGATGGGGTTTTAAGTTTGGGAATGCAGCAGTGCTCGTGTCAAGGCCAAATTAACCTCCCAAGACTCCACGTGGTGACACTCGTTGGTAGAGACAAAATACAGGCGTTTTCTCCCTCCAGTTGTTGTTTTGCCAAGAGCCTCTGACTCATCTCGGTCTCCAAGGCACGAGGAACAAAGGAAATGAGTGAGAACTCTCACCTTTCTCGTGGTACTTGTTGAGTTCTCCCAGTAGAACACACGGTACTGGAAACTGTCCCCAGGCTCGGGTGTGAAAGGGGGGCTGACACTGAGGAGCAGCGAGTCCGAGCTGGCACTCACTCTGTTCACCTTGGGGGGGCCCAGAGTGGCTGGAAACAAACACAGAGAGAGCAGTGAACCCCCAGGATGAACAACAGCTCCTGGACTGGCTCCATCTCCACAGGATCCCTGAGGCTGGAAAAGCCCTCCCAGCCCATGGATCCCCCTGTGCCCCATCCCCACCTTGTCCCCCAGCCCAGAGCACTGAGTGCCACGGCCAGGCCTGCCTTGGACACCTGCAGGGCTGGGCACTCCAAACCTCCCTGGGCAGCCCCTGCCAAGGCCTCACCACCCTTTCCAGCAACAAATTCCTCCTCCTG